TGGCACGCATAGAAACACACAGTTTTTTCCACCCACCATATATGCGTCAACCGATCTGGTCGATCATTGACCAGCGGCTGGATATTCTGATTCGATCGTGGTCATATGTCTAGGTGCCCTCCCGACGCTTTTGCTGGAAGGTCACCTGCAAACTCTATTTGGAAGGAAGACTCTGCTTCACGGCTGTCTGGCATCCAGATCTGCATCTTCTTCTGCATCTTCTGGCTGGCTGTCCAAATCGCACCGACAATCTTTCGATACTCGAAGTAGTTGAATGTAGTCTTCCCTGCGCAAGCAAGCTTGCATATTGACTGGGGTGTCCATTGTTAATCAACAAATCTCAATATATGGCCCACCTTTCCAAGTATTCCTCAAGCATCTCAGCCCAGCAGCTGACACAGATTCTCTCATCAGCAACCGCTTGCAAAAAGCGAACACATTGCGCGAACCTCGAAGTTTCAGTCATGATCACAATTATAAGGACGTTGGCTCTACGCGGCTCAGCTGATATTGAGCAAAATTTCACTCGGCTATTCGGAATGGGTCAATCAAATCCGTGAACTCTCCAAACAAATTCCCTCAAAACTCTCTCAAAGCAAAGCTCTCAAAACTCTCTCAAACTCTCTCAAAGCAAAAAAACCTTTCCAAACAATTCCAAACATCCTCAGTAACCAACAAATGCCAGCGCGGTTCAATTAAAGTCATGTTCCACGTTCCATCATGAATATGCCTGCCCTACGTGAGGTGAGCTCCATGTTTTCCAGCAACTGCTCAAAAAAGATTCGTTGCTTGGCCCTTAAGTGGGACAATCTGACGAATAGCATGCCTTTTTAAAAGGCATGGAGGCATCTGATGACATTTGGAAGTCGCCAGGAGCATTCCAGAGGTTGCATGCCAGTGGCAATTTGTCATGGTACGTTGGTGAAGTACCACAACACCATGGCTCTTACACGGATCTCTCAAATAGGAGATGTATGTGACATATGCGCAATATGTGTCGCACTGTCACATGTACAATTGTGACATATGTGCAATATGTGTCGCAGGGATTTGCTGGGAGGTATATATATTTGCTTCCCATGTGAAGTTGTGAAATGCCCAATAGGTCGCACTGAGAGTCAGATATTGTGAACACTTCAAATGTTATTCCCGAGAGTGGGAAGTATTTCTACAGATATACATGTGAAATTGTGAAATGCGCAATAGCTCGCACTGAGACTCAGATATTCTAACTATTCCCGAGATTGTGAACGCATTCAAGTGAAACGCATGAGCTTTCCTCGTCCTGCTTCTTGGGCCAAGTACAATATCGGTTGTGACGGATGAACATATAATGGTCGGTCACGGCACACCTGTCTTCTCTAAGTCAAACTCTCAAAACTCTCTCGAAGCTTTCCAGAAAACTGTCCAAGCAAATTCTCTCTAAACTCTCAAAGCTCTCAAAATACGGAGAGATCAAACAAACAACCATGACTATAGGTAGAAACCAAAAATACTCTCCAAGCTCGATTAGCGCATCCATTTTTCGCTTCAAAAACCGATTCAAAAAACTGACAGAATCTTTCAAGCTCCTAACAAAGGAGGTTCTCCGAGAGCTCTCACTCAGCTGCTCTTTGAAGGTCTTGCCTTGCCCTTGGCCTTGTTCTTTTTGTTTTTCTTCTTCTTGGTCTTTGAGGCTGGCTCATTCGCAGCTGGCTCATTGACAGCGTTGGCAGAACTGGAAGCGTCGGCCGCACTATTGGCAGCATTGGCGTGGCTGGACGATGCATCCTCGTTGCCTTGGCCATCCTCTTGGTTTGCCGCCTTGCTCTCTCAGAAGCTAGCTCTCAGAAATGCATAGAAATTCCAAATCAATAATATGCAAAAACTAACTCTAAGAATTAACTCGCCTTGCGCTCTGCATCCTTTCGTGCCAAAAGCTGCATGACCGCAGCCAACATCATACCACCTGTCTCCATGTCCGGAGCGTAGCCCGGCGCTGGATCCACTTGCATGGAACCGTCACCACCGAGCCGGAGCATCATACCGCCCATCGGCATGGATGACATCCTCTGTTCATACTCTGAAGGTGTTTCCGAATTGTCGCTGCTGGAGGACATGGCACGAACAAATCACAGCGATCGAGTTCTTCGGGAAAACTGTCAAAGAAAGCGTGTTTGCGCCAAAAGCTATATAGATATAGATTTAGAGATCGATAAGCATATCACGATTTTGCGCAAGCCTCAATTGGATTGCAAACCTCGCAAACTCAGCTCTCAGAAACTCTGAAGAAAATCTTTAAACTCTCAAAACTCATAACTCTCCAGAACTCTCAGCAAATTGAAACTCTCAGTGAACTCAAAGACTCCCTCAAGAGCTGTCAGTGGGAAATTTTTTTCTTCCACCAACAGGCTAGTCAACATCTTTCAACTTGTTCTCGCACCACTCCTTGGCCTGCTCTTCAGTCAGTGTCCCTGTCTCCAGGTGTCCGATGCATTCGTCCAAGATGCCATACGCCAGCTCCTTGCTCATGCCCTTTTGGCCAAACTGCATGATCTGACGACCATGGCTAAAGTTGTTGCGAAGCGCCGCTTTCTCCGTAAGATTATAAAACATCTTCTTCCACTTCTTCTGAGGATTCTTTGCTCTCTTGCGAGCAGCTGCCGGGCGTTTACGTGGAGGTTCCTTGTCCGGGTCGGTGCTGGTGCGAGCTGCCGGGCGTTTGGCGCTGGTGCGAGCTGCCGGGCGTTTGCACGGAGGTGCCTCCTCGTCCTGTTCTTGGCTGCTGCTGGATACCTTAAAGCTTGCACTTGCAAGAATATTGGTGTTTAAGCTATATAAGCATACGTACGTATTCGGCTGCCTCCACGACAAAATTATCTTCTTTCTTCTTGCCAAGTACCTCTCAGAACTGAAGTTGACTGAACCTGAAGGCCCACTTACCTTCGCACTTCCTCATCCTTTTCATGAGCCAGCTCAGCCCCTCAAATAACTCTCAATCTCGACTCTCAAACTCTCAAAACTCGCAAAACTCTCCACTCGGAACCCTCAAACTTTCAATACTTGAGCACCTCGTCCAACAGTTTCTGATCTTCTGCGGATATGGATTCTCCTTCCTTCCTCAACCCCGACTCATCAGGTTCCTGGCTTGGTGACAAATTGGGTCACAATAACTCAACAATCTCGGGTTGCAATAACTCATCTACGAAATCTCGGGCGACTATAACTCAACATTATGCAACAAAGCAACCGCAAGAGGTAACACTTCAGGATCTTTGGAACTTCTTGCCTCAAGTTTTTCAGCATCCTCAAACTTTCATTTAACTGAACTCTCAGAACTTCTGCACCGATAATATCAATCAAAAGGCAGTGGATGTGGTGAGTGCGCTGAAGTCGGGAAGATCATCATCAGGCGACTTCCAAACATCCTCCTCCATGCCAAAATGGCACACTATTCATGGTGCATACAGGGCACAAAACAAAGGAGCACAGGTGGGGGTCACATGCAAAGGATAGGCCTGGCTCTCATTGTAATGAACACTTCCCAGCAAAGATCTGAGCATCTGGATTTCGTGCTGAGTGGCCATGCTGCAAGTACGTTGGAACCTTAGTTTCCAAATTCTCCTCACAAAGAGACCTCGAAGACTCTCAAAGCAACCAAAAACTAAACTCTCAAGAAACTCTCAAAGCA